AAACGTTCACTACAGCCCTGCAAGCTGTCAGCAGGATGGAGATCACAGGGTCCACTGCCTCCTATCACAACCCTTTTCAGATATTCTGAAGAGCCCCAGGGAAAATACGAGGCGGAGTAGAAAAGAACCTGGCTGTTCTTTGCTGCTTTAGCTGTCTAGGGAATCTTCACCTCGCTGCATCTGGGCACCTTTAATTCTACTGCTCCTTCTTGGATAAATGGTATTTTGCAGAAGGAACATGCGACTGTCAAAACAGATGTCACATAATCACCCTGTGGCAGAACCAGTCACAGTCTTTGAACAATTCAGAGAATAAGGCCCAAGCGCATGGATGGATGCAATATTTCTTCCGCTTGAAGCCTTCTGCCAGCAACAATGCTTCCAATTTAGCATCACAACTACATGCAACCGTGGGAAGCTAAAGCAGCCAAAAAGCAGAAATACACAATCAATATAGACAATGGCTCTTTATAATAAAAGAAACAGCACCCTGAAAAAACAATTTAAAAAAAGAGATTATTTTTGTCATTCAATTACAGGTGAATGCAGAAAAGCACCTGGCCAAACGCTCTCCATTTTGTCCCAAGCAATATATCACTTACCTTTCGGTATGCTTCTCTAAAGAAATAGTAAAGCACTTCGATTCAAGTTATTGGGGCAGGAAGCCAACACCATGTTTTGAAACTACTTTCAAGACTTCCAGAAAATACTGGAAGCTCCCTGCATTTACAGAAGCAGCTGTGAGCTAGAAAACTGAAACTACATGAAAATGTAGCGTAATCTCAAGGCTATGTATTTATTTTTTTAAATCGGTTATTATTTTTTAACCCATTTTCTAAAACAAAGCTCTTCCAGAAACCGGTGGAAAAAGACACAGGGTATCTCATAGCTCACCATGGCTCCTGGCCCAGGCTACTCCTATTGAAGGGAAGACTGAAAAGCCTCAGGCTCTCACAGCAGGGGTGCGCAAGTACCCTCCTCAGAAGAATGTGCACGTACTTTAGTGAATTTGAGACCTATTTATTACTTACGTTCACCCACATTATTGATTTTTTTCATAACTCAGCCCTCTGTCACAGTCGCTACTTCTATATAACTGTACCTATTCTTAAAAATTTAGAGAATTTTAACAATTTAATAAATTATCCAGAACGCCAGGTGCTTATATCAGAGCTGTGAAGACATACACATTAGTCACTGCTGCTGATAGACAGATTGCCAGATCCTTGCTGCCTAACACATTATTCTTCAAATACAGCAGAACCAGAAGTGACCGAGTAGGTGCTTCGTCTCAGGTTTACGAAACAGAAACAGCAGAGGGGGGAGTAGGCTATATGCAACAGAATGGCCACTGCCATCACCGAGCCCTCCATTTTCTACCCTTGTGAAACTGTACTGCCTGTAAGCAGTAAGCCCTTAAACCAAAGAAAAAGAGAGGAGATGCTAAGCATATACATTTTGCAGCAATCTGTAACCAATAAAAAAAAAGATACAGCAGCTTCTTCAGACAGAACATGAGATGGGCCCTCATATACCTGGAGGCCTTATCACCTACACACCTGATCTCTGCAGTAATACCATCTTTTAGAGAAGCAGCAGTGGTCTTCAACAGTAATTCTGGAACCAATGGCATATTTAAAAAAAAACAAAACATTTAAAGGAGAAATACCCAGGAGGTGACTATTTTAGGTACCATTTCCTCCCTTTCTATGTCTGCCTAAGTTTTATTCAACGTGCTGGCCAACTTGATACTTTCTATGCACTAATTTGTAGCAGAATACCATTGTCGTACATTTATATAAGCAGAAACAACCTGATAATAGAAGTTGCTACAAGAACTTGAAAGCTGGAAAAGCAACACAGTAGAATATAAAGCACACACTTGTTTTAGTTAGGTAAGGTCCACTAAAACAAGAGTTTTATCCTATTTTAATTCAAAAGGAACTGCAGTTTTATTTTCCCAAAGGTACTTCTGGAAGGAGTTATTTGCATGGAGAACTCAGCTACTGGAATGGGAATATATTAGCATCCTGATGTGTGTCATCGTATCTGCGTTTCACAACAACGGAAGACTCGCAGTAGTACACTTGATAAAATTTGAGTGAGCCAGTGTGTGCGTGTCACTAAGAAAAACCTCAGTCATAAATCAGAATCATTACCATTCTTGGTAGCTCAAGATCTTCACAAAGTTTTTTTTTCAGCTCCTAAGCCTTTACTATACAATATTTACTTTTAGGGACAGTTTTACTTCAAAATTACTTTATCTTCTACATTATATTAAATAATCATATTATTTTACAGTGATAACAGCTTCTAAAAGTCTACAGGCAAAAAATACAGCCAGTCACGCTACACTCATTAAGAGGTATGTTAGTACATCTGAAAATCTTTTCCCTGATGTTAGCTAGGTCTTTCTAGCTGTACAGCGTTTGAGGACAGGAGCAAAGCAGGAGCCTTACACGCCACTTTTAGAATGCGAAACACTAATTCAGTTTCAAGAAGAGAGATGCAAAAGCAACGATGCTGCCCCAACAGACATCTGTGCGACTGCTTTGCACTGCCAACAGCAAAAGTGAGAAGCTTTTCAACATAGAAATTTACTACTTTTGAAGGTCAAACATTTTATCAGTAAAATACACAAACTGGCCAGTCAGGGAAAATATTTTAAAGCAGTTCAGTGTTTATCTTGAGAATATTTTCCAGTATCAGCTTTCACCAATCTGTTACTGTCCAGTATTTCTTAAGAACTAAACAAAACTACTGTCTGGTAACACAGAAACAATTAGACACAAGCAGAGAGCCACAGTCTTGAAAAAGGCCATGCCTCGTTTTCTGAAGATGGACAGCCAGAATGAGATGTGGTACTTCCCATTTCACACCAAGATCATCTATATCATAATGATATTATCTGCTTCACTTAATTACAGGCTGTTTTCACTTAGTGGTAAAAATACTAATTTAAAGGTTTAGTTAGTGAATATTTTGCATCATCTGAATATTTGCCATCGAGTTTTCCTGAAAATGAAGTCAGCCATTCTCAGTGTAAATACTAATTTTTCAAGCACATAATTTTAAAAATAGGACTTACTCGAATATAAAATAGTGCAGACATTTGACCTAATGTTCTTTAGTTCCCACTTCTACAAGTTAGTTATCTTTTCTGAAAAACTGCGTAGTAGGAAGTAAGTTCCTTAAGCATTTACCTGTATTTCTGATAGGCTGACTGATAAAACATTTTAGATTGACTGGAAAGTCTAAGCTATTTAATAGTGATTCTCTATGCAAGTATCTCTTATAGACACATCATTGTTTCTTAAGAACACCAGTCACCCAAATAATCCTTATTTTAAGGAAAAGTAAACCCAGTACGCACCAGATTCAAAGAGATTAATTTTTTAGGGACAGCTTTGAAGGGGGCCTCTAAAATTTGGCGGGTTTTTTTCCAGTTGTGTCATTGAAGTTGTTGCAGCTTCCTCAGACTCATAACAGTCATCTTCCACACATTCAGCAGTTTAAAATATTTCCACATAAAGCTAGTTTTCCTTTTGCTTTATGACTTCGTTTAATCTACCACACTCTATAGAGGCAAGGAAATTTTCACCTACTACAGTTTATACAAATTTCAATTTAAGCACGGCACCCAGCTCCTGTGATAAAGCAAACCTATCTTAAGAGCTGGCTTGAATTAGCAGTTCTCTCCTCCCATTTGGATCCCAAGGAAAATATATACGGTAGTCTCACAGCCCACATGTTAAACATCTTCCCGTGACTGCCCCATGTGGCCACTAACATTTAAGCATTAAGCAGCTCCACCATCAAGTGATTTTCCTTGCTTTTACAGGCTGAAAGGAGGACTTAACATTACCTACTTAGTAGTAAACACTATTTCTTCAATCCAATTCTTCCTTCATTTGAACACATTTGTAAGAATTACTCTATGTAAGAATTTGTGAGACCATCGCATACTTTGAGTAGGACTAAAAAGCAACACAATATACAACTCAATTCTTGTTGTAACAATTAATTTCTTCTAACAATGTTTACGTCAAAAGCAAATAACTTAGTTAACTATTTTAGGTATTTTTAACTTTTACTTCATACAATGAAAATGTATACTGATCCTGTACCAAGTCTTGTTATGGCTATAAATTTGTATTCTATCCAATGCCTTGTGTGCTCTCTCTCCATCACAAGTCGTCTGTCTGTCTTCTATGTATAAGGACTAAAACTCACACTTCTGAGTGTTAGCAATTCGGTATCATTTTTTCATTAGTAACTACAGCAATAAAATTTAAACCTATGCTTGTATTTGGCATTGTTACTGTGATGTTTTAATACGGTTAAAAAGAATCCTAGGATTCCTTTATGTTATGGCTATCTCATAGAATAAAAATTATTTTGTTAGAATTTCTAAAAATATGATAATTTTCCACTAATCAGAAGTTGGAAGAGATACATTATTTCCTTAGATGATAAAAATCAACTTCTATTGGACATTCTCCTCACCTTTTCTGTCTGGTTTGAGGTTCCGATCCACCGGCGGTGGTTCACATTCTGCAACAGGTACTGACCGTCTGGGAGGGGTCTTTGGACTGGACCTGAAACCCATGTGAGCAGGAGGAGGGACTTGCTTTCCAAATAACGGAAAATCAAACGTGCCTGGTGTCATTGGTACATAGTTTGTTTCCTGGATGGGTTCAGTGAAGCTGCTGGAATGCTGTCGTGGAGGAGAGTTGGGATTCATTGGGACATAATTTTCATCTAGTTCTTCACTTGAAACACTTCCCACTGTCAACATGCTTCTGTTTTTCTAGAATTAACATATATTTCCTTTAACAAAATAAGTTATGCAATCAGCTGTGAATCATACGAGTTTTTTAACCTAATCTACTCAGATTAATATATTCTACTGAAACTGAAAAATCACAAACACTGTACAGCTTGCTTTTTTACATGGGAACAAAGAGCATTCAAGCACTGTCACTGTCACCTCTCATCAGATCAAGTCATACTTACAAAGTGGTTATGGAAGCCCTCCAATGAATTAGATCTGTCATTCGGAAACGTTCGTGGAATATCATAACAGTCTTGAGAACTAATTTCTAAAGAAACAAGAAGAGAAAGTGGCTATTTATCATCCCTGTTCCTGTCACTTGGCACCAGGCATCCACAGTCTGTTGTTATTTACTGTCTGCTTCTGAGAGCATACAAACACACCTCCTGAGGCTGTGGCTCATAGATTATATCTATATACTTGAGAAGACTGTGTTCACAAACAAACTTAGCACTCATCAGTCACGACTTGAAACTCTTATAGTGGCATTTTTCCATGACAAGAAGAGAAAAAGCAATTTTTCCTTTTAAAGAAGCAGCAAAGTCTTCCTTTCAAATAGGCAGGTGTAAGAATTTAGTGTAAGAGTGGGTTTTAAGATACTGGGCCCTCATGAAAAACCTATTCTAAAATAAACAAACAGCAGATGTGATTTAGGGTCTGGAGAAAGGTTTTCTGACTGAACACCCTTCCCTTGGAAAGTGCCAATTCAATGGGATTCAATCTGTTGCACGAACAGTAAATCCCCGCTCTCAGCTCCCCAGGGCGGTCTCCAGGGGCTTTCAGTTTGAACGAACTGCTACGGAACCGAAGATCTCTCCATTTTCAGGGTCCTGGCTCTTGGCAGTCCGCATTAAGAAGGTCCTCAGCTTTGTGACTGCTTCTTTGGTGGACAGGGAAGTTTGTGAGACATCTGGCTCCCAGGTCCCGCTCACCCATGCGGGCAACAGGCTGCCTTACCCTGCAACAGGCATGCACTGATGATGCCAAGACAGAAACTGTGGTCAAACTCTGGGTTTTATCCCCGCCTTGCCCTGAAAAAAAGCTCTGAAGTTTTTTGGAGATTTTCACCTCAGAGGAAAAATAAACACTTCCGCTATCAAGTGCCAAATTAAAACAGTATTTTCAGAAAGACTACTTTTCCTGAGGCTGACAATCTCAGCTTTAGTGTAGGAGTACTCACTTATAAACTTAGCAAAATGAGGGAAGACAAGCAAAGCAAACAAGGGTCTTTCAGGGTGTTACTTCGTCATTTTAAAACACTAACAACCACCGATATTATTACACTCAGCCTACAAATGAATGACAAACAAGATAATACTATCTGAGCGCCTGTATGATCACATCTATTCTGTATGTTGCCTCTAAAAGCGCTGTCCCCATCCCCTTCCTCATTTCAGCCTCCCATCCCGTACCTAACACAACTCAAACAATGCTCCTTTAAAATCCCCTCTAACATCAGCATTGACTCTAACCAGCTTAAAATTTCACTTTAAAAATAATACTGTAATGCCCACCTGCCTCAGGAACCTGAAAAAAATGAAACTTAGCCCAAGAGTGGTTAACAAGACTAGAACAACTGCTCTCTGTAACCAAATACCAGCTTCCCAATCTCTACCTCTTGCTCCATTTCTCAAGTTTAAATCTGAGAGAATAAGAACAGGAACAAAAAACAGGCAGAAAAAACACTCCAAGAAACACCAAATTCTTTAAGTAAAAGTAGCTCTACCAGATTTGCTAGGACCCAAAATACACCCAGCTGCTAAAGGAAAAACAGTAAAAAAATGCACATCTGGAATACCAACATTTAGGCGACTATAAGGAATAACTTTAATTTTACTTAAAAACTGCAGTATGCATATCTACCACAAGGAGAGAAATAAAGGTCGGTGGCAACAATCACGAGATCAGGGTTGATCTCAAAGCTCTGGGTATACACCAAGTCCCACTGACCTTCATGAAACACTTTCAGCTTCTGCAGATTTGGACCACTATAAGCTAACCTTACTTTGGTTGTTCTGAAAGACTGATAATGGCAGTATTGAACTCAGCTATATGAGCTTATTAGCAAAAAAAAGATGATTAGTTCTTCACTGCTGTTTTCTAAAGACAAGTAACACCATAAACATATCTAGGTCTTCAAATATTTTTAGCTAAGAGTGAATGCCACAGTGCAATATACATCCCTTATTGACGTTCTGTGCTTTGCTGTTTTGATGGTTTCCTTTAATAAATCTTCTCTTTTTCCTCTTTCTTACATATTTTAAGCATTATGACCGCAGACCGCCTTGTGAAGGGCAACACACTTGTTTTTAAAGGCTAGAAATGCCCCTCATATCATTCAGCCCATTCATATCATTCATATCACATCATTCATCACAAGATTACATCATTTAACACAAAAATTCTGGAAGAGCAGGATAAAATATGGAATACTGACCTTTACGAAAGATATTCAAATCTACAGTTGAAATGGTATTACTGCGCGAGGGTGGCATGCCTGCTGTAGGGATGCAATAACTACTATCAGTGTCTGAAGCAGTGCGACTAATGCTACATGTTTCCACAGGAGATCGATCTGCAGCATGGTGAGGTTTTGGTGGCCGAGGTGGAGGAATATCTGGAATAGTCTCCAGTTTTGAAGTCTGAGACAACGTTCCCTCTGGAAAAGTTCGTGGAATCTGATAAGTACCTCCAGGTGTGGGGGGAATGTCATAGCTAATGGAGATGTGCCTCATCTGTGCGTCTAATGAAGATGTTGCTGACGGCGTATTGAAAACATGTTGCTCTCCTTCTGCATCAGTCCCAGATGGAGATGCTGCCTTCGGTAAAACATCCTGTGAGTAACTCCTAGGCAGGTTATAAAGGCTGCAGTCTGCCAGTGTCAGTCCAGTACGAGAAGGCGGAGAGTCATAGACACCTTGCTGCTGAAAAAAGCCATTCACAGCATGCTTGCTCGCTGATGGAGCAGGATTTTTGTGGGAGGGCACGTTATCATTGCAGTCTGTTTCAGAAGAGCTGGATTTTGCCGAGTCAGCATGAGATCTACATGTAAGATTGTAAGATTAAAATGTTGATGAACATTTAAAGAAAAACAAACATTACAAATAATAAACACAACATTTAAAATGTAAACAACTAAAAAGTCTATCAGTCTCTTCCAATTTTTTTTTTTTTTTAAATGAAATACAGGAACTCAATTATTGAACAAACAGTAGTACTTAAGAAGGATCCTAAGTAACTACATACATACAAATCCATGCATATGAAACAGACAACACAAGTGTGGAGCTTTAGCAGCAGCTAAACAACAAGCTGATATTTCATAAAGCAAGTGATTTCCATGATGCCAATTTAGAGCAGAGTTTGTTTGGGGGCTGGGGAATTTTTTTATTATTTTCTTTTTAACCCATACTGCAAACTAGCAGCACTTTAATGGCACTGTTAAAGGTAAAAATAATACACTCAATCCTTGGGTTTACAGTACTCGCTAGTTCTAATCAGTATGAAAAAAAAAACATTAGAGGAAAAAATACACGACTGCATGTAACACCCTTAAGTGCATGCCTAAAGTTATCTACTGACCATAATAAAACTGGTTTGAAATACATAAAAGAGAGAGAAATAACAGATAAGAACAGAAATAGGAGGAAATAGCATGCTTTGGGGGAGGGGGGGTCCATAGTATGTACGTGCAACAGAGTGCTTTTGTCTTGAATGCAAATTAAAGCAGTGTTGTTAGATAAAACTGCACAATAGTTTACCTTTGATTTCTTTGGATATTCCATCTTTTATGAGAATAGCACTCTAATACTGGTACTAAGCAGTACCAGTAAACTTACATGAAAAATAAACACAGCAATTTTTTTTTTTTTTAAACCTCCTCAGTCACCTGCTCCAGGCAGAGAAATTCTGTTATCAGTCTCACTCCTTGCTTAAATGGAAGTCAAGACAGTGGCAAAATACTAACACAGGTGGAGTTAATGCAGTCCATACACTTTTTGATCAATCATACGATATTTCCTATTTTCATTACCACAGTGCCATACCATTGTGTTAATTTATACATACATATGTAAATATTTCAGCACGCGTGTATATCAACGAATAGCTGCTATACTACTCTTGCTGAGCTCTATTAAGCAACTGGACCATGCAGTTTACAAAACTTCCGAGGAATAAAATGCATAAAAATCAACAGCACGACTACTACAAGAAGCATTTTTTTCCCCTTATTTTAAGAGGCGCTCTACCTCAAAGTGATCACAACCAGAATTTATTATTCAAATTTCAATTTGTCGATAAGATCGCACAAAACTTTCTTTCTTAGAGGACAGCTGGATTTATCTCCCGGGGTTCTGGTAACCTGAGGAGAAAGGAATCCAGTTTAGCTATTCATTTAGGTTTCCTCTGCAGTCATTGGAGAAATGGAGACTGTGTGAAACACAATCCATTCTTCTTAGATATCCATCTAAACCCTATGAATCACTCCCAAAGTGCCTCTCTGCCAGCTATCAAGGGAACCAATGTGATTAGCTTAGACTGGACATCTGCAGTCAAGAAAAACCGTCATTCACCTAACCAACTGGTTTTTTTATGTTTAATAGCAGAGATAGATCTTCCATCAGTCTCAGTGGCTTATGAGAGTTCTTCTCTGGCTTTAATTATATCACCTTTTTCTGTTAGCTTGTTCTTAGTTATTTTGGTGTGGTTTTATTTTCATTAGAAAAAGTACACTAATTTTGCTCTGGTTACTATTTTAAACATATTCGATTTAAGTTCTGTCTCACTGGTCGGAATTGGTTTCTGGGTGACTGAACATTAATCTGCATTTAGTTTAATAGACCCCCCAAAAAGAAGAGAATGTTCTCATCAAGTATTTGTCCTTGGCACAACCAAGGAAGTGAAACTTCCTATGTTCCTTACAATGCTGACCATCAAAAACATCTCTCTTGTTTGCTAACAGTTTACTTACTTTGCCTCAGAGCGTCAAAAATTCACTAATGAACCACCGAAAGTTTAACACACTTGCAAAAAATAGAGCACATAGGACTGAAAGAACTACCTGAGGTTACAGAGTACATAATAAATTGTGAACATACTGTGTGACTAGTAACACTGAGCTTAGCCCCTGCTGCAGCCCTTGCTCTTTACTCGAAGGATTCATTCAGGAGTTCCTCACTTTGTAGACGTACTCTTCTAGTTCTGTGGTATTCATTCAGACCAAAGTCCCAGCAAAAGTCACATGTGTTTTACATGAGCAAGTATGGGAAGGATTGTGAGCTGTATTTTATATGCTATAAAAATAAAGTGGGCAGTCTAGAGAAGCTGGACAATCAATTGTAGAACCAAAATTATTAGTTCCAGTTCACTAGGATATATTTTAAAATGAAAACACTTCCAAAACTACAGAAATAAAATATAAACACTACATTTATCTTACAAAAACATGCAGGAGTATATAACCAAAGCTCAAAATGCAACAACAGCACATGTACGATGCCAGTGCTTAAGGATTACCCATCACATGTAAGCAACAAATGCTATCATTTTAAATTTAGGCGTTTTTTCTGGGTCTAAGTGAATGCTGCTGCTTCTTTCTTGACCACAAGCACTTGTGAGAACAGAAGACTTTCAAAAACCATGACATGAGGCAGCCAGGCCTGTCGTTTGCTTCGCTGATGGCAACAACTTACATTTCTCATTATAAGAGGGCATTTCTGATTTACTTCACGTTTTTAAAAGTAATCTTTTGGAATCAACTTCTTAGTCTATTGAAATAGTTTTCAGAATATCAATTGGTTGTAACCAATCTGATTTTGCCAGACCAAGTTTGAAGACACTCTGAAACACAGGCCAAGAAAGCAGTGTATGCCAAAATGAAGACAGGGAATTCAGCCTTCGAAGTTTAACTAGTTTTCAAAAGTCAGTATTAACCACTGATCATGATAAGAACACCACGTACAATTTTGAAAATCTACAATGCATAGTTGATTCATGTTACTTCAAGTAAATTTAGGTTAGGACTAGAGTTCAGGCATTACCCTTTTTAAAAAAAAAAAAAAAAAGGATTTCAGATGCAGGATGCTTGATGACTTCTGCGCTTAAGAAAGTTACCTGAAAATTTTAAATTTTTCCCACACACTTCAGAATAGCTCAACAAAAAATCAATTGGCTTAAGTATTCCATTAACAATTGGTTATTAAGATAAGTATTGATGTTTTTTTACACCTCAGTTTAAAATAATGGCAAAGTTGGATATAACACAATGAAAACTCCTCACTCTACAAGCAGAGGATGACCGTGACATGAATTCAGTGTTATCACATGTGGGCTTCACATATCTGCAAATTATGCTAAGTGGCAATGCTATTCCTTACTCAGTGCTAGGACTGGACACCTCTTTCCACATATCAGAAGAGATAACTGTACAGCCTGCTGATCTACAAGGACTGGACATTAAGATGCACAGAGAAGAGGTGGGGCGTTGGGGCAGGGGGAGCCCAGTGAAAAGCCTGCCTCCATGTACTAAAAACTACTTGTTGACAGAAACCCAGGAAAAAAGTTTTAAAAGTATTTTAGTCTGAGGGGTAATCACCCCATTTTTGAATATGCTGTATTCGGTCTGGCTTGACCACCCATCCTTTAGAGCTGATTCTTTTCCATCTGCAGGAATCTGTATGACTGATTAAACAGAATACTATGAACAAAGTGGCAGCAAAACTGCTCTTGTGTGCCAGCAATCTGGGATAGAAACAGCAAGCATAGTAAAAATGTGGATAGATAGATAAATAAATAATAAACCAGCTCTACTTCCAGAAAACAGAAGCCAAAGTTACATAGTTTTTCTGTTAAAACTCACAGAACACCATGCAAGATGCATCTCAAACAAACAATATTTTCAGGCAAGTTAATGGCTCTATGATTAATTTCTCACACATTCCAAGAACGGCTACTGTTCACTCACTGCAGTAGAATCTTTTTACTTTCAAAATCTTCTAATAGCAGGTATTCCTGCCCTTCTTCCGAGAGAAAGGGTGAACCTTGGCTGATTCATATACATAGAAAAGATGAGGAAGACAGCGTTTAGTATTTCAGTATACCTCTCCAGTGAGCCAGAACAATAAGGGTTTTGGAAACAGTCTTTGGCTGCATTTTCTTATTTAGGATCCAAATGCAAACCTTAAAATCTCACTAAATGCTACAGTTGAACAATGCTCTTTCTCAAGTCAACAGTGATCAGAGCATAGAACTATTTTAGACAAAATACAGCATGATTATTACAGCTGCAAGTGCCGCGTCCAAGATATTCTCACAACAGTACGCGGTGCATTGCATGACACCGTAATGAAGCATTTCAGAATTATTCGTTAGTTCTGAAACACCACAATTCTTAAAAATTTCAAAGAGGCAGCTCGGATACTTCCTCTATGTTTCACAGTTACCCGCCTCACCTGGAAAAGAACCCCAAAGCCTTGAAATAAAAGTCAGTGGTTCCCAGATTATCTATAAAGTTACATGCAAAATTAGAACTGAAAATGTTCCCTCTGCATATTGGCAACTTCAAAGTCTAAAGTGAAAACATCATAGCAATAAACCATTCAAGTAACAAAACCTGCCTGTTTAATTACATCTATTAAGCTTTGCACTTTACACTAAGGAAAAAGGTTGTATGATACAAAGACAAATTGTTCCAAGTCTGGAAATTAATAGGAAAATGATGCAGCCATTTAATTTTTTCTTCACCTGTAAGGATGTGGGTTGGGGTAGTGCACAGAGTGCCCTCTGACTGATCATCCTAGTAACATGCTACGCAGATACACAAAGCTCAAATTCCATAGGAAAAGGTCCACATCCTCTATACTCCAGCCCAAATCCAGCAGAGCACCTACTGTACCAGACATGAAACATAAGCAGTCCTTTTAGGTGGAACTGAAACTCCAGCATAACTATTATACTGAATTTTCATTATTACAGCTTTCTTAATAAAAGGACAGCTATTTAGTGAATTTAGTTAAATATAATACACTAAAGCCCATATAATTTCCAAATAATCACAATGCCAATGTTTCACTGTCTTCAAATATTCCTATAAAAACATCATTTACTTAAACAATCTCTACACTCCCAAAGATTTTGTTCAGTTCTTTCTCAGTTCCCTTGACATTTTATCTCTATTGGACCTTCTGCCTTCCCCAACACCCAAATACCTTCTCTCCTGTGTCACCAGTGTCTTTCTCAAGAAATTTTGCAGGCTATTCATGGACTCTACCTTGCCACGTTTTCTGCCCCCCTTTATGGTCTCCTCAGACTTTATTCCCTCTACTTAACCCACGTGTCACACAACCGTGGAAGTCAGGTCAGAACGTCAATTACACATCCCAACCTTGATCATTCCTAAAAACACACTTCACGTGGCGGTGTTAGAAATCCACTCTGCGCCCATCCCTCGCAGAAGCAAACGGGCACTCAGGCACATTTCTGATGAGCCAGGGCGCTGAAATGAAAAGTCAAGATTTCCCTGCCAAGCCGTTCTGGAAATGATACCAAACTTTTCGATAGCTTTTGGCAGGAACGGTGACATACCTCTTGGGCACCATCAGCTTCTAAACATCACTAAACATTGAAACCTTTACAACTGAGAAAGCAGACACTGGGTTTCCCCTTCTCTTGCAGGAGGCTTTGGGGCACGCCGTGCTGCCCGTAACCTGCACATTCCATACTCTGGGGGAACTGTAGGCTCATTCCTCTGTTTTATAAGAAAGATTGTAAAGGGTGGATACTTTTCTACCATGTAATCATCAGTAAATGGAGCAGGAAACTCCTCAGGCACAACAGAGCACGATAAAAATGCTAAGGGAGCGGAGAGCACATGGCACAGGTAAAACTGGCAGAGCATCAAGGTGTTGATGAAGAAGGCACCGCCACTAAAAGGTATGGCCCTAAGGGAGTATGTGAAACACTCATGAAAACACTTTCAAAGGAAGCTTTCCTCAGCCTTCCATGTACTTGTCTGCAATCACAAAAAGAATATGACGTTTTGTTTATTTTTCTGGAAATATCCCAGCAGATTTTATTTTAAATTACTGCAGAAAAGAAGCTTGCCAGAGAGATTTATAAGGTTCTCCCACAGAATACTCAAGGTTGGAAGGGACCTCTGGAGATTATCTGGTCCAGCTCTTCCAATACCCCTAAGCAAAGCCAACTTCAAAGTCAGGTGAGGCTCCTTAGGAGCTTGTCCAGTCAAGTTTGTTTGTGGGTTGGGGTTTTTTTTGTTTGTTTTTGTTTTTTTAAATCTCAGAGGATGGAGATTCCACTAAGTCCCTGGGCAGCCAGCTCCAGGGACGGCCACCATGATCCATTCTGAAAAACCATAGTGATGTTTCCCAGGTAGCTACCATAAATATCATATCCTGCTATGCAGGAGGTGCTATACATCTATTTAAGTTAGAAGTAGCAGTTGGAGAAATAAATATACATTTAATTCAGTAGAAGTTCTCAATTCTTTCCTTAAAATTTCCTATTGCACACTTCTCTGGAGAACTGTCTGTGTGGGTACTATTTATTCAGTACGAAATAAGACTTATTTGAGCTTGGTTTTAAATATCTGTTATTTGGAAAAAAAGTTGAAATTCAGGATACAGAAATTAAGTGGTTTAAGTCTCCTGCATTGTTAGTTATCATAAAATAATTATCTTTTACTCTTGCTTGAGAGTCTGAAACATGTTAGTAATAGTCAAAAAGTATCATTTGAGGATTGCTATATTCAGTGGTAACCTGGCAGGTAATAATAAATATCAGCATGTTTTACTGAATCCCTTCCATGAGAACTTTAACTGGCAAAACTGGGGCACCAAATACCAGAAGGGAGAAAAGCTAAATTTCTCCAGCTTTTTCTAGACCTAGACTGGACTAAACACACCAGGTTGTGGCTAAAGAGAAAGGGTACTTCTCTGCTTTGTACCATGCATCACACCAAGCTACAATGAAATGCTTGGATCACTGCATTTATCTGATACTTCATATTGGCAATTGCTGTCCACGCTTTTGAAGAATGCGATATGGGTCTAGCATCGATCAAACACCTTACTATTGCTGCAAAAAGTTGAAGCATAGAAAGAAAAGAAGCAAAAGTTACAGGCAGCTTCTCCCAGTAGATTATGTACATCCAAATGCTCAATGACTCGGCAGTAAAAAAAGTGGTTTTAGCACAAACATTCTTGGCCTGTAATACAAATAAGTGTTATTAAGAAAAAAAGTCACTTACCTCATAGGTTCAGGTTTTTTACTTTGACAGTTTATTAGCAGTAGGTAGTCTTGAGGATCTTCTTGACCAGAGGAAGACTCCAGTGGGGGGATGTTAATAAGCTGATAAGGAGGAGGTAGGGAAGATTCTGCTTGCATGGAAGGCGGTGAAGTATTGATGGGCAAGGGTAACTCAGCAGATGGTTGTAAAGAACTGACCGGTGGCTTCACAGCATCTGCAAACATAGAAGCAAAGCATTCCTTTTAGAACAAAGAAATAGTCTTACGATACTACCAAAAAAAATTTATTAACAGAGGATGAGAAAAGTCAGGGGGTTTAATTCAAAACTGTAAAGTCAGTGGACATAAGAACATCTGGATATTAACATTTGTTTCAGAGTATTTATGTATGTCTTTACAATCTCTTTATATTTTTTTCAAACTGTAATAAATTTCTTAAGTATGCCTTGGAAACGGAAGTTATGCCTTATTTAATGATTTATTTAACCTGTTTTCTGGTCACAGAAAGAACAAAGATGCTGACAGCTGCAGTAAGACAGCTAAGAACACAAATCTGTTGTTTTAATCAAGAGCAGACAAAGGCCTATAGGTTATTACTTGAATATGGTAACCTGAGTCAGCACTTGCACGTATTCATCCCTTTTTGATCAAGGTCACTTCAACATTTGAGATTAGTCACCAGTCAAGAACTGGCCTCTCTCAATATCCGAAAAGCAACAGGAAAAACACTGCTTTTGCAATGGAAGATCCCTTACGACTATAAAAATAATGCAGAGGTACAACAGGTACCATGTTCCACTAAGCCCCCTCATTACATAGTCCAACTTTTTATTTTAGTGCAATAAATGAAGTAGTTGTGGTTTGTTGTTGTTGTTTAGTTGGGGGAGGGGGGGAAGAGGTGATGTTGTGGGTTTGTTTTTTTTTTTAAATAACCTTGTCTTTATAATTCTTATCCACTTCCTATTCATGTATATTCTACAGTAACTTCTTTTTTCCTTCCAAATACATGTATCCTGACTTTAAATTATCTGGGAGACTGGAAAATATTGACACTGTCAAACATTAAACAACCATTTAACTTTTTCATTGTTTTAATGATACATTGACTAAGAACAACATAATTAAGCAAATTGTTCCTCAATTATCAAGGCTCCCTAGTACTTGCAACTCATTGTACATTCCAATTTGCACATCCCAAGAATGGACACTGATTATTAGCATTGTTTAAATGAACATATTATTATTCAATGCAGACCGCTCCTGTTAAGCTTACAGGCCAGCTATGCACTACAAAGTAACTTCATCCAGCTTCTGCTTCCCAGCACTATCCTGGGAAGAACCAGATGAGCAGACCAGAACATAGCCCTCCTGCTTCCACTTCTGTACACTAGGTACAAGTGATTTAGATGTGGAAATAGGAACAGCAGTACTTGCTTTGAACTCCCATGGCACTTACACAGCCTCAGAAATTAAATCCCACCACACCCATGTGGGTGGAAGAAGTCTAGGTGTATGAAAATTCCTCAACTCAACCTACCTGAAAAGGTAGGATAACCTTAAAAAAAAAAAAGTTTTTATAAAAGGTTCTGCCTGACCTATCCATCAAACTAGTTAGCAGAACAAAGGCAAAACCAGACTGCACCCAGTGATCTCACACACAAAAATAAAATGGTTTCTTTACTACATGCTAAAATATTAAAATATGAACAATTTTCTATTATTTAGGAATTTCAAGAGGTTGAAGGAGCCTATTCGAGGCACCTACTGATATTTCTTCATTCCCCTAATGTTGGGGTTCAATAGCAGGAACAGAGAGGTGCCCGAATGGACCTACCAGGCACGCATTTCTTGCTCCTGAAAAGAGGCAGTGGGAGAAAGGAAAAGTAGTGCTCTGTCCTGTCCCCTCCAGAACTGAGCAATGCAAGTAAATTTATGCACGAGTAAGAGCGGAGAAGAAAGGTTTCCTGCCAGATACACTATCATTCTTTGGTCACTTGCAGACAAGATCCTCAAGGGCTTTGGCATACCACAGTCTCCACCCCTGTTCCTTGTCCCTGACTACACACGACCTTGACATCGTTAGATCTGCTTGGTGCCAAGATCACACAAGGGGAAAAAAGAAATCAAACAGGATGTCCCTGCAGCTTCCAGGGAAGATGGGTGTGTCGATTAGACCACAGGTAGTCAGGAGAGCTCAACAGGTATATAGTAAGATGCATGCCTACACGAGGCTGATGCATTTAAACAGACCACGCACTAGCATTCCCAGGAAGAGTAACAAGACTCAGGGGTAACTTTTCCAGGGAAAAATAAAATCAAGAAGCTTGAAAGAGGACCAATGTATCCACCAGTTTTGGAGAAAGAAACAGTTACTTTTTTGGAGGAGTAAGAGAAAAGAGAGGCGCTTAGGGACATGGTTTAGTGGGCATGGTGGTGTTGGGTTGACAGTTGGACTCGATGATCTTGGAGGTCTCTTCCAACCTTAATGATGCTATGATTCTATGATTCTATGAAAAGTGTGTGTGAGAGAGAAAGAAAAAGAAGTTAAAGGCCGGCTATAACCTGTAATTGCTGAAAGGAGGCAAGGTGGTAAAGAGCATTAGGCTAAATACAAAGCCCACGATGCCATCTCTGACGGTGGCCCGTTGCAGACAGACTGAGCACAAGCAGCAAGGCAAGCCTGCCAGCTTCTGGGGCTCTACAGCTTTGGGCACCCCAGTGCAGAGGCTGCATCCACAGTCTGCTGACCAGCCTCTGAGGAGCTTTTCTCTGAATTTGTCCTACTTCTTTTGAGTACATTTTTGACCTCTACTACCATCCCGTGGCAATGAGCTCCACACCTTGTTATGTATGGCATGAAAAGACACTTCCTTTTATTTTAAACCTGCTGCCTGATAGTTTCACTTTATCCTTCAGTTCCCATCTTCAGAGAAACAGTGAACAATTGCCTCCTATTCATAATCCCCATTCCCAACTTTACACAACTTTGTCACAGCTTTACTGAGTTGGTGCTGCCTAATTTTTCTTGGTACAGAAGCCATTTCATTGCAGATCTTGTTTCCCTTCACCCTCACCTTTCCGACCTCTACTAATTCCTTCCTGAGAAGGGAAACTAAACTATTGCATAAAATGTGCAAAAAAGTCTGGGACACGCTTACTGATTTACAAAGACATAACAGTAATTTATTCTGTTCCTATCCTAACCATTGGCCTTTTGATTGTTACTGAGTATTAAAGGTGACACTGTCCAACTGTCCAGAAGGTTCATGATCTCTTCTCTGAGCAAGGATTTGGAGCCCATTAATGTTAATGGATCATTAGGGATACTTTCCTTGTAATGAGCTGCCTCATTTATTTTGACACAGATATCACTTGACAAAATCCCTGAGTCCCCCTACAGATCTGTTGGGGGGAGTTTTTTGTGTGGTTTGGTTGGGATTTTTTTTTTTTTGCAGCAGATAGAGCACTAAACTATTAAAATACCAACTTTCTGATCTGAAATTCATCCTTATACAGGCATTTTGTATGTGTTAAACAGCATAGGCTAATGCCCGAACTTAGTCTAAAGCACTTCACTGCTGGGCTACTTATTATTTGCTTTACACATTCAAGCTATTTCAAATTTGACTACGAAGAAAACAGTAATGTTAACTACTTTCATCACCGAGCAAATGAATGCCGTTTGCTTATCTGTACCCTCTGAAATATTCTCTTCAGCCACACACTTCAGAAGCTGATATGAAGGGAAGAGTTTCTCCCAGCAGCCTATTATGATTTCAAAGAGTACAATCATCAACTTGCTCCACTTTGGACTAGCAGATCTTTAGGGAAGGGGTCATCTGCACACCAAAGAGTGTTGTAAGTCATTTGGTTTGTTCCCAGAGCTCAGACACTCGGACTGCTTTGAAATAGGTGGGAGCTGGAAAAACATCCAGAATATTTAACATGCAAATGAGCATAACAAGAATCCTATTTTGTTTTTATAATTCCTGCACTCAGTACAGCTAGAACAAGCAGCTTTCTCAAAACAGGGCAAGAGTTTTATCTTGCCCTGTTTATCTTTCTCAGTTGGTTTGTTAAGAGCAGTTACAGGCATCATCTTCGCTAGAATTTATACTTTTTTCCTCATAACCATTTTTGTATTTGCCTCACTAATAAAACAATCATAAAGTTAAAGTTGAAAAGAACATTTTCTGAACAAGAATAATAAAAGGCTCCCCTCTCTTCCTTCTTAACTATATAAAGCTTCTTTATTCCACATGTTCCTATATCTGTGCTTTATGAACAATCTAGAAGATTTGAGTGTGGGAGTTTGCACTTAGGGTTGGTTTTGTGTTGTTTTTTGTTTTTTTTTTAATGAGAGCAAAAATTAAATTGTTTTCTACATTATGATATATAGTCTTTTAATATTCTAATTATGTAAATACTTGAAATGTTCTCATAATGAACAAAACAGAAGCCTCATTACAGTAAGCATCTCTTTAAATGTCAAAATTGCAATCAAAGTAAGAAAATGCAGATCGTAGGTAGAGAGACTAAAATAGAAATGGGATTTTCCCATTGTAACAGTGAATCAGCAACAGTTATGCAATCGCACGATTCTACTATTCTTCTGAGTTGTTTCATTCTATCCATTTACTATGACACAGATGTTACCTTTAAAACAACCAGTGGTCAACAAAATATTAGAGTAATAACCTTGAACAAAAATTTAGGTACAACAGTGGGAGCCATAATAAAAAAATAACTTCACTTTATTCTTAAAAAAAATAATAAAAAAATAGTCCTTTTAAATTATGTCTGTTAAGTCATTATCTGTGCTGCTTAATGTAGTGAGATACATCCTGAAACACACTGCTGGAGTTTCCCCTAGTGTCAGCTTCTGCACGGTCTCAAGTGAAAGATCCTGGAATCAAAGGGCCACATATGTGCATGTGCACGCACGGAGCGCAAGTATGTGTATGCTGACAGGCACAGACAAACAAGCACTTGCTCTGTTCACATACTTAACTCAATAGACGTGAGCCAGATCCAGCCCAGAAGATGCATGGACACGTTAGTCTGGGTTTGGTTTTCAGCATAAGTCATCAGCTTACAATCAGTAAGAAATCTATGCAGTGAGCCTCAATTCTGAACATTTCTGCTATACCCAGAGAAAATCCTTTTAAATACTTTAATAAAAAGTTTCTGTGTATTTTGTAAGTTTGTTTTCTTA